TTAAGCTTCCTTTTTTGACCTCCTTCTTACGTATGCTAATAATTTATTTTCTTAATATGTGGTTTTAGTGATAAAGGCAACAATAAAAAATTTACTTATGACTTTTATAATGTGAGTAGAAAAGCATCATTTTTCAATAAAATACATGATTCCAAATATATATACATATGGTTAAATAAATTATAAGCAGACATTTGACTCTCATCAATAAGATATGGTCCTAAACGTTATAGAGTCAAGTTAGCCAAAGAACTCTTCTCTTTGGGAAAATAGGATCTGCTTTTCATCCAGGACATGCTGGCATTTTCTATATTCTCCTCTCTCTCTTTACTCTCTCTGATGAACACACACATACAATACACCTTTATTCATTTTTTCTAGCCACCTACCCTTCAAGCCCCTGAATATTCTCTTTTCTTTGCTTCAAGATACTAAGGCAAGTTCCTATTATTTCCATAAAGTCTACTATGAATACTTTTGTCTATAAAAATATCTTCTATTCTGCAATTCTAATGCATTTGATTATTCTAATTTATCTGCCTGCATTAGTTTGCACTCTAGAGCCTATCTTAGATACTATTTCATTTTAATCTATTGTTAACACTTAATAAGAATATATATACATGTACCATTACTAACTAAAGGCTAATGCTGAACCACCTCAAGATATTCCCCGGGGTAGTAAAGATAATAGAAATGCACACTCTCTCAAACATGAAGGCTATAAGAACTCATGATGCCATACTTACAAAAACGCTGGATTAGCTCTAGTCACCTAGCTAACCTCTCCAAATTAAGGCCCTGCAGAGGCCCAAAAGATGCAAAAATAAAACGAAAGATTTGCTATAGGCAGTGCCTGTCTGTGCTGGTTTTCGTACTTTTGGGATGTACCATATCTAGGTGCAATACAGGGTTTGCTTTAAAGATTCTAACAGCAACTACAGACTCTTTCAAAACTTATAGAGACAGGTGATGGATTGAAGCCAAGATCTCATTTTAATTTCTTATCGTCTATGTTTCAAAGTTTAGAACTTTTACTTTGAACTAGATTTTCTCAATTTTGAACTACTGACATTTTGCAGGGATGAGGTAAAGGTGCTGTCTCTACACTTATGATATTTAAAGCATTCTTGGCCTCTACCCACTACATCATGCCGCATCACTTAGTTGTGACAACCAAAACTGTCTACACACATTTTGCCACGGGATGGGGGCGACAAATCACCCCTGGTTAAGAATTGCTGCTTTAAGCCCCGTTTTAGTAATACAGAGGGATATGGAAAAGAAAAGTAGTATCTATTTGTTACTCTACAGGCTTATATCCACTAGAAGCAACAAAAACTAAGAGTAGTTTTCATAGAATATTATATTGTAGTAGCAATAAGTTTAATTAATATAAAATTTGCGAATAACAAAGATCTAGGCTCCATTCCTGGCTTAAGCACTTATTTTGTATAATCTTAGTCAAGTTACTTAAACTCTTAGAATATAAATTATAAAAGTAGGGACAATTATATTATCTAGCACACTGAGTTGTTGGAATAGATGATAAGTAAAATGCTTACCAAATGTATGTCATGTGGTAAGCAACTAATCAATGCTACCTTTCAATATATAGAAAATGTCTACCAAGAAATCCAAGTAGTCCAAGAAATTGAGACTATATAAAAAATTTAAAAATTAAGAAAAAAATGTCACCACAGATTTTTAGCAGGTACAGAATTATATAAACTATACAGAATATACATTTTAAAATAAAGTTAATAACTTTTACATCTCACAGAAAAGCACCCCCTCAATATATTAAAAGCAATTATATGAAAGTATATGTATTATTTGTGCTTTTATATTTCTTTACACCTTCTCTCCTTATACAATGGGCATGTATTTCATTTTTTTTGAGTAATTGGGAATCAAAATTTAAAGTATGAAATATTATTAAAAATTTCAAACATATAAAAAAGCAACCAGATTTAATGAATGTTAGCATTTTGTCATGTTTGATTTTAATATAGTATGTGAATCCTTTCACATACGTGTCCATATTTCTTCTGTTTTTAAGCTTTATTTATGATATATTGTTATGTATAATTCTTAAGGTTTTCCCCTATGTTAATTTTTTTTTTTTTTTTTTTTTGAGACAGAGTCTCACTCTGTTGCCCTGGCTAGAGTGCCATGGCATCAGCCTAGCACATAGCAACCTCAATCTCCTGGGCTCAGGTGTTCCTTCTGCCTCAGCCTCCTGAGTAGCTGGGACTACAGGTATGCGCCACCATGCCCGGCTAATTTTTTCTATACATTTTTAGTTGACCAATTAATTTCTTTCTATTTTAATAAAGAGGGTGTCACTCTTGCTCAGGCTGGTTTCGAACTCCTGACCTTGAGTGATCCGTCCACCTCGGCCTCCTAGAGTGCTAGGATTACAGGTATGAGCCACCGTACCCAGCCCCCTATGTTAATTTTTAAAATTCTCAAATTCTAATATTGGCATAAAAATCAGGATAGAAAAAGGTTTAGATCAGGGAGTTGGTAAACTTTCTTCAAGGACCAGATAATAAAGGTTTGGGGTTTGTAAGACATATAGTCTCTTTCATTGGTGTTGTGGTAAGAAAGCAGCAGAATAATCTGTAAATGAATAATAAGCACATCTATGTTCCAATAAAACTTTATTTGTATAAAACAGATGGTTGGCCCAAAGGCTATAGTTTGTTGACCCCTGATTTAGATGAGAGTTTTCAGTTATTAAGTTCTGTTACTGATGAAATGAACTAGTTAAGATTAGATCAATTACAATTATACTAAGTCACTCACATTTTGTTCACAAAGAAGTTTCAGATCATCTCTCTGAGGGGAACTCCCTACACCCCACTGTGTCTCTAAGTCATCAATCTGGTTTGGTGGATGGTGCATTACTGGACGGACATCACCAGCAGCGGTTGGGTCTACCGTCAATTCTTTCACCCTATAAATACATAAGTGGTATCTAAAATTAACAAACACCTATGCAGAGGAACAAGAAAATATAAACTATTCAATATAAATGTAATGCAATTAACATACTAAGATTGATGATGTCACCTTTATAAGTCAAATTTATCTGAAATCTGTGGAAACACTAAAGGGATGTTTGGTTGTTTAATTTTAGGTCACTTTATTATTACTTCAAATATAATTATTGTGCACAACAAATAAGAATTAGTGAAGTATGTAGATTCAGTATTTCAACAAAAAATAAGAAACTGTAATGTTAACAATGGCAATTAGATCAATAATGGATCATTGCCAAAACAGAAAATTCAATACATTGGGCAGATTTTTGGTAGTTGCAATGCTCAATTAAAATAGCTACATGTGAAATAATTTTATTTCCAAAATGTATAAAGATCATAAGATTCTAAGTTCTATCATTTAAAAAATGTTTACTCATTATACTTAAATTTACACATCTGGGAAAGAGTACACTTTCTAAGTCAGGATGATCCTTATTTCCTTGTAGACAAGGAAAGTTATAAGATCATACAGAATAAAGTTAAACTCCTCATTTCAAGCAAGACAATTATTTGTCTTTTAATAGTAAATATGCAAAAGTGACATCATCCTTAAAAAATATGAGGGGGAAATAAGAAGCCCGAATTCTAAATCAATATTTTAAAGCAAATAAATTAATAAAGGACATAAGAATGCAGATCATGCAGTACAAATACCACCTGGCAAGTGAAATGATAATGAAAACTAAAATGGCCCAGGACAAAAGAAGTAAATGAAATGTTTATACAAAGCACACTTCAAAAGAAACTATTAAAATAAATATCTTATGTATAGAATGAAGTAGACCTGGTAATTGAAGGAGAAAAGTCGTCATACTCATAAGAAGGAGAGAGATCAGGGCGACTGCCACTACCCTGTGAGAAGGGAATGTCTGATGGACTAATTCCAAACTCCTTTACTCTGCAGTACCAAAACAGCAACAAATTAAAAGAAAATGCTCTTGTAAACACAGCAATGCACATTCCAAGTTTTCATTTAGTACTATTTTGTTTAAAAAATGATATAATATTGTGACAATGTATTTAGAATATTATTTCATAAAAATACAATTTAAAGAAGTTTTTAAGAAGTACTGATCCCCTAACTCTATAGTCCTAAATCCTTCCTTTTTGGTGTATTTTCCCCTTCCTCACAATCATTCTTAGAAGTTTAACTAGATCATCACCTAAATTTGAAATGCCCCTTATTTAACTACACAACACAATCTAATTTCCTAATGTGGTCAATACCATGACTATTTTCTTTATTATTAATAGCATCAATGTGACCTCAACATTTTTTGCAGTTTTCAAACAGAACACGAGGGAATTAAGTCCAATGCCTTAAGGCATCCATTGTTTGTAATGAATTAACTTCTTTGCCATGCGTCCACCAGAATGGTAGTAGCTATGAAGCATCCTTGGTCTAACTGAGAAAAATATTCACTCAATTTACTGTGGTTGATGATTCACATGAATCCTCATTGCAGAACAGCCTTTAGCAATGGAATTTCTAAAAAATTACTTTTGTTAATATCTGTAATAATTACATTTACCTAAATTATTACATTTTTTTGAGCCAACCCCGTTTCACAGCAGTAGGTACTATTTATTAGGATTAGTAATTTTTAGGCATTATTTAGTCCTTACAACAATCTTGCGATATTATCTCCCTTTAATTGATGAGAAAAATGGCTCAGAAAAATAAAGTCTCTTACCCAAGGTCATTCAATGAGAATGTGGCATAACTGAAATTAAATCCTAGCCCTGAGTACAAACCCCATGCTATTAAACACTTCAATATACTAACCTTATTCTCTATTTCCCTTATCACTTCTCTCAGGTCAAACTAGATGAAATTCCTTTCTTTATAGATTGAAACAGTCAAAAACCAATGATACAAATATATAATATATAAATCAAACTAACATTTTCTTCTACTTTTAATCATTCTTTAATCTATTGGTAATATCTACTGTCGAAGATTCAATATTGGATTCATCTATGCTTTATCTTTTAAAACAGTCATTTTGAAAAGTTTATTTACCACATATGCTGACAAATCTAAATTTCTAATACTAACTTAACACTTTTCACTCCCAACCCTGCTTCAGAATCTCCTAATTTAGACACCCCATTAGCTCCATCCACACATTTCTCCTCTTTCCAAACCTCTCCTGCCCAACCCAAACTATATACAGGAATCATATGCCTCAAATATGCTGTTAAAAACTCTTAATCACTCTTCTACTCAAGACCTAATCACTTCGATATCTTCTATTACCCTAAGATTGTACTCTGCTTCATGACAGATGCTACTGTCTGTTTCTCATATATATTATACTACTTTTTTTCCCTTGGGACAACCACTCCTTCCACTCTAGAAGTTTTCCCCTCTACTCTCTTCTAAAATACCCTAAATTGTCATATGATTACAGCTGGATTTGTCATCTTAATCACTTAGCTGCAATGTATACTGTTACAAACTATCCCCTAACTCCCATAAAACATTTTCAAAGCATATGATTATGACTAATAAGGAGTTGAAAAAACATGTTTTCATATCTGTCTAACTGAATTTTTAAGACAGAACTGCTCACTAAAGTAGCAACAGGAATAATAATTAATGCACTTAGTATATTCTAGGCACTGTGCTAAATATTTTACACAGATCACCTCTGTTACTCCTCAAAACAATCCTTTAAGATGAACATGGTCATTAATCTCTCCATTCTAAAGATGAGAAACAAGGGCACAGAGAGGTTAAGTAAGTTTCCTGAGGTTCTGCTGCCATTAAGTAGTGAAGCAGGTACCACTTTGTCTTGAGAAGTAACACTCTTCAATCACTATGCTAAGTATTAAAAACAAGTTTAAACACTTCAAAGATAACCAATTTCCTAAAAATATGGAAATTTTAATGTAATAGTACCTATACCACCACCTCAAAATATTGGCCTAAATAATGTGAGGCAAATTTAATATTAAAGAAGAATGAATTCTGCTTGACTATAAAAAAAAGTTATTGATTCTTAAGGTCATAAAACATTGACATGAATTAGCTATCAAGGGAGGATGAAAATCTTTAGTCCTAAAGATTTGGAAACAAAAGTGAGACAATTATTTATCCCAAATGGTTAGTCATGTTGCAAATGAGTTATGTTACACGATAATAGGTTAAAACATTTTACTTGACCTAAAGGAACTAGAGGAATAGCCAGACATAGCGTTTTCACAATATTTGGGGTGGGGGGATCCTTTGCAGCCAGAAGTCTTAAGACACTGAGAGGTTCTGTTTGTTTTAATTCTACATGGAAAGATTCTACTACACTAAGCTTTTCCTCACCTCTCCAATGAGCAATTTTGAAATAAGAAGCATTTTAAATTAGTTATAAAAATCCCACATACCAAAAATGTTAATGACAAAGATCAATTGAAAGTAACACAACAAAGATTTACAGCCAGGAGCTCATAATTCAAACTTCAAAAGAGATTAAATTTTAAAAATACAATAGCTGTATATTTATAAATGTAGTTCTATTACATTTTTAAAGAAGCTACTGTATTTTAATACCTTTTTACAAAAGGTCAATAGGTTTATACTTTCCAACAGGGTTTACTACTATGTAAAAAAATCTCTTCAGTTGAAACAAAAGCAGCATGATACAACAGCACAAAGGGTTTGAACCATTTATGTAAAGTTCAAATATAGCTAACTGTGTTGCTCAGGGATACATTCATAGATATTAAAACTATTTTTAAAAAGAAAAATGAGAAAATTATTCCACAGAAGTTGGGACAATGGTTATATAAGGGTAGAGATCAGTGGATTTAAGAATGTTATTCAGGATTTGTGATCAGGGAAAAGCACGCTGGGAACCTTTTGAGGGGCTGACAATGGTCTATTTCCCCATCTGGTGATAGGAGTTTTTGGTTTGTAAGTATTCATTATTCAGTTATGTTTTGGGTACTTTTCTATATGCATATGTATTTCACATTTTAACAAAGGATTAAAAATAAGATTTCCATAATGATTAAAACAAAGAAAAAAGACAAACACTTTTTTCCAGCAAACTTAAGAGAATCTCTACATAGAAACAGATTCCAAAGAGGAATTTTACCTCCAGGTTAAAATCAGAAATGTAACATGTGATAACAGAAATTTAAAACTATATAAGCATCAATTCAAAACAAGAGCAGAGGGGAAGAAATCTATGGAACAAATATAAATATGCCCATCATAACTTAAAGTTCCAGGGGCATTTTGTGACTCTAAGGAATAAACTGCTTTAATAGCCTATAATGCATTTTGTCCTTCGTGTGTAAAACCCATTTGTCTGCTGATGTTTATAACACTATTAACATGAGTAACAAAATGTAACCAACAGAGAGGACCAGAAAGAACAGTGCTGTAACTTCTTATTCAAACCCTAGATTCCCACACATAGCATTTAATATTACCAGGAATATTTTTCAGGATAGTGAAACAACTTAAGAAATAGATGTCCCTTAATATTCATTTACTTTAGAGTCTTAATATAATAAGAAAAATTTGCATTCTTTCCAAATTATACAACACATTTTCTACTTATTTTTAGAACTTGACAAAATGATTCTAAATATCATCTTAGAGAATAACATGCAAAAAAATTTTTTAAAAATTGAAAGAACAATGTAGCAAGATTTGCCTTATCAGAAATTAAATTATACTATATACTGCTCTACTACTACCCTCAAATTTCAAAATAAAAAACTCTCATACCTATTTGCATATCTTAATGTATTAAGAGTATTTTCACAGGATGCCATTCCTGGAGAGATTGTGGCAATCTATAGGGGGAAAATGCAAAGGTAAAGAAAATGTTATAAATGATCAAGACAATAATACTGACATAAAGTTCACTGAGGTCAAATTTTACTGTGGTTATTTAAAAATAAAGATTTATTAATGATATCTCAACTCCAAGATAAGTTGCTATCTTATACCCATAATCAGATAATAATTATAAAGCCCAGTTAAAAGATAAACAACTCTGAAGGCACAAGAAAATGATCCAAATCTAGTAGAAAATGGAGGAGCTTAGAAGGGAGTAGTAGTACTGAGTGACTGCTCCCACACACCTTTTTTTTTAAAATAGCTTTTTGCCAGAGAGCAAGCTCTGCTGCTGTCACACAGGTTAACTAAAACTTGATTAGAAGCTTATAATCTTGGCCAGTTGCAGTGGCTCATTCCTATAATGCTAGCACTTTGGGAGGCCGAAGCAGGAGGACTGCTTCAACCCAGGAGATTGAGGTTACAATGAGCTATGATCAACTACACTCCACTTCAGCCTGGGTGGCAGAGTGAGACCCTCTCTCTAAAAAATAAAAAATAAATAAAGAAAGAAGACACTTGCAGTCTCACTGGTTAAGCAACTAAAGGACATAGTTTCGAAGTTGGGATCGCAGCAGCTGGAAAAGTGAAGTCTGTCTCAGAAAGGAGAAAAGCACAGAGGAGGAAACCCTAATTTTACATATAAACTGCACAAATCTCTGGCGACTGCTGAGTTAGGCATACACAAAGCAAGCTACAAGCAACATAGCTAAGTCTAAAATAATTAAACAGATTTCAATTCCAGTTGCTTTCCACAACAGGGGAAACAAGAGTTTATAACAAGTTAACTTCTGCTTAAACAACAAAACCCAATAATATTCAGAACACAAAAAAAGCCAGCTTCTCTACAAAGTATTCATTTATAATACATATGATATAAACCCAAATTACTAGACATATGAAGATATAGAAAAGTATGACCTACATGCAAGAAAAAAGAAATCAAGGGACTAGCCCTAAGAAGACCCAGATGTTGGAATTAGTAGAAAGAACTATAATTGCAATATAATCCTCTCTATCAGACTGCCAGGGATCACATTTTAAATATCACTGTATCTCTCACAATAAAAGGATTCAAATGACTGTCATTAACATATATTATAAATTTTCAACAAATATTATATAGTTATTCCTTGAGGATTAAAATAAAACAAATAAAGCAACACACAAATGCAAACTTACCATGCAGGTACGAGAGTTTTCACCTATGAATGAATCTCTTAACACCTGAGTGAGTTTACTTGCTCGGAAAGGAGTATGAGGTTTATTTCTTCCTAAGGCTCTGATGCACTCCTGAAAATTAAGAAGACAAGTCTCACAAATTAAGTTTTCTCATAAAGAGTAATCTTAATTTACATATTTTAAAAGATTTTTTACTCTAATATTTAAAGTCTGATCAGCTCTGAAAATTCTACTAACAGTTTTGTAGCATAGTATAGATCAGGTGTCCTCAAACTACAGCCCACGGGCCACATGCAGGTGTTCTTGCCCGTTTGTTTTTTTACTTCAAAATAAGATTTGTGCAGTGTGCATAGGAATTTGTTCATAGTTTTTTTTTAACTACAGTCTGGACCTCCAACGGTCTGAGGGACAGTTAACTGGCGCCCTGGTTTAAAAGTTTGAGGACCTCTGGGATAGATATTCCAGTAAGTGCTTATTCAAGAAAATGAAAAATGACAACTAAACCTACTTTATTATTCCAAAAGATACTTCTGCACTAGTGTTTAAACACTATGACTACTGTTTAAAAGTGACAGGCAGTAGGATAACTGTCAAAAGTTAAATTTTTAAAGTGGTACTCCAAAAAAAACCCAGATACTTTATTATAGTCTTTATCTTTGCTTTTCTACTAAAGGAAGAGATATAATAACCTGGCCTAACTTTCTGAAAGTCATTCCATGTTTTTCTGAGAAACTATTTCTTAGTTCGATTCTGTGGTTCTTGCCCTCATACAAGAAAAAAAAATGACTGATTTAGGCCCCTTGGAATTTATCTAGGTACCCTCAGAATTGGCCTGCAAACTCACATATCCCATAATCCATCTAAAAAGAATGAATAATGTGTGTTGTATGAAAGGAGAATTTCTCCACTTCTGTTCAACATAGTGCTGGAAGTCTTGGCTACAGCAATCAGACAGGAAAATGGAATTAAAGGTATCCAAATGGGGCAGAAGAGATCAAACTTTCACTGTTTGCTGATGATATGATATTATATCTAGAAAACCCCAAAGATTCAACCAAGAAACTCCTGGAACTGATCAATGAATTTAGTAAAGTCTCAGGATACAAAATCAATACACAGAAATCAGAAGCATTCATATACGCCAACAACAATCTAATTGAGAACCAAATCAAAGACTCAATTCCTTTCACAATAGCAACAAAGAAATTAAAGTACCTAGGAATATACTTAACCAAGGAGGTAAAAG